CTCAGCCCTCGTGCTTCCCTCGGGTGGCATGGTAGCCACGCACCGAAAGAGTGTTCCAGTATTACTCAGCTGATAAAGGTTGTACAAGCCAAATGTGATCGGCCACGTTCCTGGATGGAGGGGATCTTCAACTCGGAGATAAAAGAAAAACAGAAAAAGCATTCGGCAACGCAAAGATCGGTCGGTCATCAGAGTCGTTCAGCTATAAAACCCTTCCGGTGCCTAGCTGCCATGCCACCAGAAGGAAGCACGAGGGCTGCGATACTGCCAGATCGCCCAGGCCTAGACAGGGGAAGTCGAGTAGCGGAGGTCGGATTCGAACCACGGACCTTCCGGTCAGTAAATTCGCGCTCTAACCACTCGGGCCATCTCGCCCATCCCGTTCATCGGAGAGAGGCAGTGCTGCATACAGATGTGTCGTACTAGCTCACGAGAGCACTCCTTTTGTTCGGTAGCCAAGAGGGAGATGGTACCTGAGATCTCACAGTGTTCGGAGAAACTCAAGGTATAGAGTTCAGTTCATTACGAACAGTATATTATGATGCTGTCGCTGATTAGGGATCCTCTCTTTGTCTCCAATCAAATAAACTATTCTTAACTCGAAAAATTCCACGTCTGAGCGTTACCATATAATCGGTTGCTAGGGCACTGGGGTGCTGTCCGAAGGTTAGTGATGAAAGCTCCCTTGCGCCGGATTCACACAAACTGATTTTCGGTCACCAGTCTAAACTTGTTCGCTGGACTGAATGTCACGAAAAGAATGAAAGCTACTGCATCCCAATTGTACGCGTATTGGGAGAAGAAAGCTAATGTCAGTTATGTAGGTCGGTGGTGTGAGGGTGAGCGGGTGGCGGAGGCGTTGCAGACACGGAGTGTCTGGAAAACGTAGCTGTTTTCAAGATTTCCTGTATAGAGCGAAATTTGGCTTACTCCTTTGCAATTCATAGTGAGATGCTCTTCACTTAAGCTACAACCTTGGTGTTCAAACAGAGACGACCTGCAAAAATGGTGACATCGGCAGTGGGCTGCTGTAGAGTGTCATATGGGAAGCGAGTTGCGACATACAAATGACCGTTTCTCGTTCAAGATTTGAAGAGCGGGATAGCTCAAGTGGTTAGAGCGCGAATTTACTGACCAGAAGGTCCGCTGTTCGAACCCTACCTCTACCTCTCGACTTCCCCTGTCTAGACTTCGGCAACCTGGCAGTATCCCAGCCCTGGTGCTTCCTTCTGGTGGCATGGCGGCTGGGCACCGAAAGGGAGTTACAGCTGAATTATCATATTGTTCATTATCATGAAGCACGGGAAGTGATCTCCGAAACCTCTAATCTCGGCTGGAGGACGGTTCTGTCAGGAAGAACTGAGATACAACCTAAATGGGAGACCGTCAATTTCGATGCATTCCATGCAAGCTGTTTCAGTTTGCAAGCAGTGAAAGTCAGGACATCAGATGTCTTGGACAAGCATGGACACTTTGATTGGAACGCAGAGGCTACCGCCGCGGGTAGATGAATGAGAGGACTTGTAAAAGTCCAATAGGTCATGTCACGTGAGAGGGTTACCCAAAGCAGACGAGTGAAAACACGTGATAATCCCGTACAAAAATAGGACAGAGTGGTCGACTGGAAACTGAAGGGATACAAGTCAATAAAACAGCCGTTGTAAAATGACATGGTTGGTTGCGCGCCTGAAGGAAGGCACAACAAAAAGGATGTATCGCTACAGCGTGAATACAGAGTTTAGACAACAACAACACAAAAAATATGGGAATCTCAAGCGGAGAAGAAGACGAAACCAGGTGCGCAGAGCGTAGGTTCACTACTGTCCGGGATGGCCAAATATAAGGAGGGAGACAGATTCGTGAGAATCGAGTTCGATTTTGTCCTGGTCGAGGAGACAAGTACCCAAAACAGCGCCACTCAGCCGATTTGTCAATAATCAGATATTCTGGTGGCCAAATTGTCGAACAAATTGTTCCATCCGCGTACGGTAGGTTGTCGGCTGAACTCAGCAAATCTAGTGGTGTAAGGCAAGGCTGTCCACTCGCACCATTCCTCTCCAACCGCGCTGTTTGGAACTCCACTGTGCCCACTTTTGAAGCTTTCGGGACGTCCGCTCACAGAAATTCGGTTCAGGCCCTTCAAAGGTGCAAGCCATTTTAACTAACCTGAATAAGTCTGCCGCACATTTTGGCATGCGCTGCACGCCTCCCGTGTAGGAGGTGTGCTAAATAAATTTATTTACGAGGAAAGTTGTGAAAGTTTCAGAGGACGGACTACAGACAAGACTAATTCTCGAATCGATCAGGACAGCCCTTGCCAACTTCCGACACCTGGCATGGCGTCAGTTTATCCGTTGAAGAGATAGCATACACTGCAGCGGTTCGCTCCTTACCATGTTGGAGATCAGAAACGTGGTCTCTGTGTGCAGAGGACATACAAAATCCCCGGTGTTCTCCGGGTGGTATTTTGATTTCTAGATTCCTTGGCCAAGCCCACCAAACCTGGGAAAAGTCTTAGACAGATCTGACCCAACTGGGGAAGCACAAAATGTATTTTGAGGACATTCCTCTCTACTACATATAGTTTAGTTGTAACACCCTTTCGGAGCCTAAATGCCATGCCACCCGATCGAAGCACGAGGGCTGGGATATTGCCAGGTTGCCCAAGGGAAGTCGAGAGGCAGAGGTCGGGTTCGAACCACGAACTTTGCGGTCAATAAATTCACGCTCTTACCAGTTGCAGCGATTTCGATCACCAGGTCACATCCTCAAGCGCGAGACACGTGACAAGGCACAGAGTTGAGCTACAATCATCGTTCACCTTTAACTTGTTAAACTGATCTCTTCTCAACCACTTTCGATTCATATAACTAACTTCCAGCTATGCAAAAGGCTCAATTCGCCTTGTGATTTGTGTCAGTTCACGTACTACGGTTTTGTGTTGCCTTCTATCGTTATTGACAAGGAGTGTCCGACCATGATACCTCATTTGCTCTACACCCCATTTCTGTCTAGTAAGACGCTAAGCGAGATAGCCCGGTATTTCGACTAATTACGTTTAGGTTTGGTCAACCTGACAAAATCTCAGCTCTCAGTGTTGCTTCGGATGGCATGGCAGATAGGCACCAAAAGGGAATATATGATACCATAATTAGTAATTGGTCGCATGCTACACTAAATTTAGCCGAATGTAGCCCTCAGATTCGATGTCCGCGAAGTCCACAACGTGTGGTTTGTAAGCGAGAAGCTGAATTCCGGTAGCTCTGGGAAGGACTGTTAAACCATTAGGCAAACCTGTGGCGATTCCATTGGCATCAGAGTCCAGGACACCTTGAAAGAGGTATACCAGGGACACGACTGTTTGCACTGCGATTCCGGCGGCCACACGGGACTTGTGGTGGATCAGCTGCCTAGTTTAGTGAAGAACGCTCTAGGAGGTGCCCAAAACGCATCTCATAGGGAATATGTGAGATTAGCTACGACCATTCAGACTGACAGTGCTCTTCTCTCGTCAGACGGATTCCTTGGTGCAGTGTCCATGGTATCCACCGAATCCCAGAACACCAACATACAGGATTATTTTGGCGATGGAACAACCCTTCTCAACTAGATTGGAGTCGATTAAATCTTGCAAGCGTTCACCCCAGGACGATTCGGGTTTCCATTCTGCTCACACGGGCGTGAAATGCCCCCGGGAATCATGTCGACCGTGGACCGACGGCTGGCTCAGTCATCTAGATGAAAACGACGAATCGTTTAGCCGTAACACCCTTTCGGTGCCTAGCTGCCACGCCACCAGAAGGAAGCACCAGGCCTGTCATGTTGCCCAAGCCTAGACAGAGGAAGTCAAGAGGCAGAGGTCGGATTCGAACCACGAACCTTCCAGTCAGTAAATGCGCGCTGATCCATCCCACCCGGATGATATCTCCGGATGATAACGGTGTACCAAAGATATCCCATAATTGATCGACTTTTTTTAACATGCCTGCTGACTGCAACTCCCAGAGCGGTTTTCGCAAATCAACGACAAACGGAAGTCGTCGCGCTTGTACACACAACATTCTGTTAATAGCCAGGGAACAAGCTCTGGAAGTTTTCTATGTATGTAGGCTCGGTGACATCTGTGTTAAAAATTGATTTCGGGTAAAAACTGACGAACTGGCCGTCCTAAAAGAAGAGATACCAAAAATCGAAATAACGTGGCTAGGATGGGGCGTCCATTTATCCTCACAATTGTTGGCGTGGATCATGGGGAGTAAGGGAGCGCAACTCCCCTGAAAAACATGAAGATGAGAGGTGTAAATTTTCTGTCACTCATCTCTCTCTTCACGGCCTAGTTTTGCCTTATAAAAAAGAAAGCAAACAGTCTTCAACAAGCCTCTCAACACACTCATCTGCTCAAAATGAGCTGTGTTCAAGCAGCCTCGTGTTACAAGGGGATTTAGACAATTTCTATTGTGAAACAGAGGGGTAGACATATACAGGTCGATAAAACCTGAAGAGGATTGTGGGAGGGAGGGTTCAAAGACCGATGCTTTACATCTTTCTCAAGAGGAAATCTTTGAGAACTAGCCTGCTGTGAATTCGTTCCACGTCATTTGTGGTGTGTATAGCTTCCCATATCTTTCCGGCGTGAAAAAAGGCAGTACACAAACCGGAAGCCAGATAGGGAGACTATATGAGTCAAATATAGAGTGTCACTGCCAGAAGCTCTTTATCAACTTTTCAGCATGGAATCGCTGTCTTCTCCCAACTGCAGTCGATAACAGAATTTCCATGCACTCTTTTCAATTCGACTGAAACACCCGGTGGAAGGACCGACTGCTTACTAACTGTTATCGTTATATTAATAATCATAATAAATAAATGCCCAGCTGTAACACCCTTCCGACGCACAGCTACCACACGAGGGCTGAAATGCTGCTTTGTCCCCCAAGTCTAGACAGGAGATGTCGACAAACACCGAGGTTTGGGTCCAACCACGAGCGTTCATCCCGGTTAGTAAGTCCGCGCATTAACCAATAATCTGTTGTGTCGGATTCCCGATACCATTTGCAAGGACATCAACTGACCAAATGTTAACAAGCCCAGACATTTCGAGGACAAAGATCATAATGACATCACTGACCTGCATCAATACAAACAGCGGGATTCCTCAGAGTAAGATGTGTTGGGACACCAAGGTGAGGACATTGTGGCGAAAGTCCAGCCATTGGAGCTCCACAGCACATGTTTCCGGGTTTAAGAACACCTTTGATCAGTTGTCCGGAATCCGATGAGGAGCCAGTGGATGCCAGTTGTCCCAGAGTCAGGTCCGAAGAGCTTCGCTCACGCTGAGGTCGGGTGAGGTGGTGTTCTTCCAACCCGGAAGACCGGTGATACCGCGACGTGCGGTTGACCACGTAAGGTCGCGTGTGAGTCCGTACGGTGATTGGACCGCCATAGGCCGTGATGGGAAAGACGTGGGTAGTACCGTGATTCGTGCTCACAGCCAACCACCGGGTATCACATGAGAACGAGGCATCCACAACCTTCAGGTCAAGGTCAAACGAGAAAACATCGGGGAAAATGAGTCGAGGCATCAATCGATACGGTTCAGGACAAATATACAGCGAAATTCGCGTGCGACCAGACGGACCAATTTGTGGAAAGAAAACCGAGAGGTTGGCTGAAACTCATTTGGCGAGCAAGCTGAACAACAACAACGACAACGGTTGTCTCGTGTCTGGTCGATAAACTGACACGGTGAGACAGTCTGGAACGGCGCAGTCTGATATCAGCGCAAACGAAGGCTTGAAAAAACATCATAAACGAGAGATCCCGCTAGGTTTTTCAGGTGAGTCTCTCGAAGAACCAAATTTGTTTGCAAATGAGTGTAATCTGCTAATCTCGTGCAATTCGGTCTCAAGTAGGACACAAACTTGACGGAAACTCGAGGACTGCGCTTACGTGATGAGCTCCAAGAAACCGGTCGTGGACTGTCGGAGAATGTTCAGCAACCTTATGAGTAGTGCATGCCGTCTATGCTTGTGATAGACATTTAGTGAATGTGGTTAAATTTAGGACCGATGGCGACAGAGCTTAAGTTTCAACATTAGTGTGGGTGCACTATTCCTCTAAACAAATATACAGGGCGCTGAATTTCTTGATCAAGGAGAACTAAAGGGCGTAATGGACTGGTCCAAAGTCAAGTGTGGGTTTGGAGATTTCAACAGAATAGCGCAAATACGCAAAACCAAGCAATCAAGCTGTCATATTGATGGTAGAACACGCACGACGATTTGATCAGGCACCCATTCTCTCCCTGGAGTTAGGCTTTTGGACCAAAAAGGCTCAGGCTATAGACGTCTTGTCTTATTATCTAAGGCTGAACACATCCGGCATACAACCACGGTCTTGGAGCTGCCGGGGCAACCCTCTTTCCAGAATAAAACCCCATGGCATCCCCTACGTTTGGAAGATTATCAGATACAATCGTTGGTTGAAGCAAATGGCGCTAGTCCTTTCAATCTCTATCTAGATTTGTAGAAACCTGTCCACTTTCCCACCTCATTTCTAGGGAGATTTTTCTGCGGCCAATGAAACACCAGTGTTAACAGCAAAGTTGCTTCCTACGGTGACTGCAAGAAATCCGTTCCCCCCAAAAAAACGAAACTTCTAGATCATGCAGGTGTCATCCCAACCGAGTTGTTAATAGCTCAGAAGGGACTGAAATATGATTGCTCTCTGTCCGAGTAGTACATCACTACAACTCGTCAAACGATGTGATGCAACCAACGACGATCATTTGAAACCTGTCAGGTGAGTGGAGTGCAAGTTCGTCAACCGGATACAACGCTCCAACATCGTGTTGCAGGCGAATGCCCTGATTAAAGCCATGTTCAAACCGAACAATCAGTCCCGGACAGCGGCAGATTGCTAGCGGTACTGCATTGTGAAATTGGGGGCACACGAATCATCAGATCCAACCAGGCTGTGTTGCGTAGATGCAAGGGTCAGTTCGGTTGCATCTGTCAGCTGATTTTGCGACGGCGCAACAGCTGATGTCCGTCAATTCGGACGAACCGGGCGTGACACTGCACGCTGCTTGTTCGTGTTCAAACTTTATGACTGTCTGAAAACGCGCTGCAACACACGCATAATCATTCGCGATGAAACTGAGTTCCATCACCAGTAAAAATGCGACTGGCGACAAATGTGCACGGTCGCGGGTGTTATTCAATCCAGTTCGGGAGGGAAGTGATGGATAGTACTTCCTTGTTCAGCACACTATTTTGGAGGTCCACGTCAGAACGCAGACCAATAAACGCAAACTCAAGTCAGGACCAGCTGACCAACGAGTATTGCAAGGTTACAGAGTTTCGGATTACGTCAACGACTGGAAACATACTGTCCTATTCAACTGCATCCAATCATGAACTGGCCCACACACGTGGTCGATCGACACAACTGCGGTCGGTTTTTCCTGTCCCCGACCCTACATCCTCTTGTTCGATCCGTCTTCAATTCCGTTTTCTGCTTCACACTCAACGGCACCGCGAGCACAGACAGCACTTAATGGAAAGCTTGGCATGGAGAGAAACAGTGAATTTGCGCGCAGTCGATACCACAAGGCTTATTTGGTTCCTTGACCAACGACAAAACTGTTCCACTGAATGGCCGTGAGGTATACGAGGAGGAAGATGTTACCAGACCACCGAGGTGTAGCCGAGAGTTATCGAAGACAATCTGAAGAAGCCGAGGAATTTCAGGCCACGAGTTGGTGTAACAACCCGTGCCGTGTCCCTGGTTTTTACGGATTTGTCGGTGTTTTCCGGTAGCTCAGTGACGTCTGTCAAAGGGCTGTTCAACAGGCCTCTGTTTGCAACGGACTGTGTAAACAGACAAGGGAAAGAAACTATTTCCCTGGCAGAATTGTTTCAGCGACGCGATGCTCCGGGTTAGCAGTCATTCACGGTTTCCGCGGGAATGATGTCGTGGGACGGAAGGGGATAGAAACTCTATGAATGTGCGAAATACACTCATTTGCAAACTAATTTGGTTTTGGGAGAGACTCACCTGGAACCCAGCTGAATCTCTCATGTGTGATGTTTCCCGGCTGCACAAGTCCGCCTCATGCTTCAGTCGCTACGATACTCGAGATGTCGTGATACATGTATATTCGTAATGCACTACTCATAAAGTTGCTGAATATTCGTCGACAGCGCACGACCGGTTACGCCCTTCTTGAGGCCCATCAGGTAGGCGCAGTCCCCGAGTTTCCCTCAACCTTATGTTCTACTTGAACCCAACTTGCACGAAATTAGCGGAATACACTCATTTGCAAACTAGGTTGGTTTTGCGACAGACTTCATGGGACTCAGCTGGAAACATCACAAACGAGAGATTCAACTGGGTTCTCTACGAATGTGGTTTACTCGTGGTACGCTCTTCGTCAGTCAGTGCTCGATCCCGGCCGTAGCAACGATAAACACACGTGTTTCATGTCAAACCAAGTTAAGCCTTGTCCATCCAAAGGTGGGTGGATAGCTACACTGTAGTCAAATCAAACAATAACAGGCGTACTTCAAACTCGTATTACGATTAACAGCTATAAAGATGCGAAACGGGGGAAGGACCAAGCAACAAGTCCTAGCCGCGGCCTAGTTATCGCCAAAACACAGGTAACTTAACCGAATTCCGGTAATCTGCAGCTGAGTGGGCTACCCAAACGCTAATAAAATAAATAAATCATTCAGCTGTAGCACCATTTCGGTGCCTAGCTGCCATGCCACCCGAAGGAAGCACGAGGGCTGGGATACTGTCAAGTTGCCCAAGCCTAGACAGGGGAAGTCGAGTGGCGGAGGTCGGATTCGGACCACGGACCTTCCGGTCAATAAATTCTCGCTCTAACCACTTGGACCATCCCGCTACGATGTTCCAGATACATCGCAGTATATGCTCCAGGCAAAACTGAAATCGTAATGCTGCTGAAAAATCTTCGAGTTGAAGAACATCATAAACAGGAGATTCGCCTGCAATTCAAAGGAATCTCACGTTAACACCTTTGCGAATGAGTGTATTTCAAGGTGAGGACAAGCCGACAGTTTTTTAAGGGAAGAGACGACCGCAACCATTGTCTGGGACAGCCTTCTTTCCCCAAATGCAGGCAAACAGATCAGGCAAGCGCTGATCGAGGATTGCACCCCCGTCTTTGAAAAATCCTGGTGGAAAGTCAGGTGGACCAGAAGATCCGTGGGATTGAGAGAAAATATGCAGTCATAAACCTCCGAGGCCGTAGGGGATTCCACGTTCACCGTCCAAAGTTCTACGTCAACTGCGGGCTTGAGGTGAGTGGCAGCTGGTGGCCACGACAATTGTCGTTCGAAGTATTCGGCCCACTGGTCGTTCTTCTTTATCCAAGATGGTCACTCAATTCTGATCCTTGATGTTTTCGCTTACAGGGGTTTTTCGAGGACCGGTCGCGCGGATAAACTGAAATAATCTTCGGGCATTACCGGCTTTCTGGACCTCTTCCATTTTCCTGGCTTCCTGTGTCCGCCAGACTTCACGGTCGGTTCGGACACTCACTTTCACTTAACGTCTGATAATTCGTCGCGTCAAGTTATGTTCAGGACCAGCTGGGATATCTCTACGAGACTAAAGCAGTGCCACTGTTCGGTGTAATATAGTGCTTGAGAGCGTCTAAAAGGGCCGTGTCACACGCAAAACTGCCAGCACTGTGCAAAAGGTGCCGATCTCGTTCCAGTTGGAACAGACTCTACAGGGCGCTTTTGAGTAGTCTGTCAGTTGCCAAGCGATCCGTCTGCACCTTACGCGGCCCTGAAAAACGAAGGGAGAAGCGATTCCGGACGAGCGCGTGGTCGGAATCCACAAATGTGTTCCGAAACGACCGGCAGTCAGTTATTGATCCGCGCCATCGGCTGTGCGGTTGCTTTGGAAGTTAGCTCTGCGTAAAAGCAGCCTGCGGTCAGCAAAGCTGTCGTTCACCATTGTCCGTACGTACCGAGTCCAGTCCATTTCGACCACCTAATTGAGTCTCAGATGCGTTAACCCTGCCCACTTGTGAATTCGTATCTCCGGCAACCACCTGCCGCAACAGGGCATTTAGGGTGTCATACAAATTCGCTTCGATGGTACCAGAGCTACAGTCAGTCGGGACGTAAGCAAACACGACATAGAGGCAGCGGCCAATTTTCCGCTTGTGAGACGTTGCCAGGAGAACTGAACAGAGGCGACTATCAACGGGTATCAGGTCAAGCAAGGATCCTTCCACCCGGTGAATTAGGACGATACCAACCCCTATAGATCCTGCCGCAGCAGCCTCTGGATCACCAGAGGTGAGCAGCCAGAAGCGAGTGGAGAGTGATGTGACGATTAGCTCAATCACTGTGCTTGCATATTCAATTCTTGTTTCTGAGACACATTACACATCAAGCGAGTCCAGTGTGAGAGCAATAACAGCTGGTTGCCCTGCTTGCTTCAGAGTGTGAACATCGAAAGCAGTCAGATTGGGTGGGCGCCGAGGCTTGAAGAACGAACGGAGTCATCAGTTCCACGTGGCAGGGCTACAAGGAAAGAGCTAGTAATGGGTGGGGAAGGACGAGAGAAGAAAACATGTGGAAGAGAAAGAAGCGTGGGGCCAGCAGCTGTAGCCTTTTCATCCCTTACCCGCCCTGCTGATGCATGTAGCAAGTAAGGCAACCCAGCTGATGGCACCACGCGACGAACGGTGTGGCATGAGTTTATTTGTACGTGTGCAATTCAACGCACTCGGTTCTGGAAAGGAGGCCTGGAATGAAACGAGACAAGAAATTACACAGCCCCTCTTGCATCATCGTCAAATCTGCGGGTTAAGTTGGACAGGCAGCTTATTAGATCATTTGACGAGCTTGTGTACGTAAGTTTGACTGTACTTCGGAACCGCAACCCGTAAAATTGATCAGAACATCGGCTGTACACTTGTAAGAGGAATGGGCGCGTGGCTGACACAGAGGGGCAGGGACGGGGATAGTGGAAATATTTGGGGCAGTGGAGTAGACCTTCGCAGCTGGTTGCCCTGCTTGCTTCAGAGTGTGAACATCGAAAGCAGTCAGATTGGGTGGGCGCCGAGGCTTGAAGAACGGACGGAGTCATCAGTTCCGCGTGGCAGGGCTACAAGGAAAGAGCTAGTAATGGGTGGGGAAGGGCGAGAGAAGAAAACATGTGGAAGAGAAAGAAGCGTGGGGCCAGCAGCTATAGCCTTTTCATCGCTTACCCGCCCTGCTGATGCATGTAGCAAGTAAGGCAACCCAGCTGATGGCACCACGCGACGAACGGTGTGGCATGAGTTTATTCGTACGTGTGCAATTCAACGCACTCGTTTCTGGAAAGGAGGCCTGGCATGAAATGAGACAAGGACTTACACAGCATCTTGCATCAAATCTGCGGGTTAACTTGGACAGGCAGCTTATTCGATCATTTTGAATGACTGTGGTGAGCTAGCACTAAGTCCCTTCCCCGCGAACATTTACTCTTTTCTTTACAACAAGGCTTTCAAATAAATCATGGTTGTACGGCAGTGAAGCATCGGTGTTGAACACTGACGTCATGCTGTCGATGATGATGATGACTGGCAAGCAACAGCGGCAATGCATCTCGGTCTGTGTTGGTTTAATCCAACAGCCACGGCGTTACATCCTTGCTACCGACGCCAAGCAACCGATGGGATATATCAGATGTTCAACAGTATCCCGTAACGGGGAGCGCGAGTGTCGACGAACAAAATGGCCTGGATCTCTAGCAAACCTTACGCGGACTAGTTTAGTGATCCCTTGCTTTGTCATTGGTATTATCCTGTCAGGAATCTTCCCAATGGCCCCACTGGTTCGAGAGCCATTACCAGCAAACTCAGCCGCGCTGGTCATTGCCGTCTTCCTTGATGGGGACCCCGAGACGGGCCACATCAATGGCTAGAGACAGTGTCAGATATGGTCCAGTCGCGCCCTCAATGGCGCTCGTGCATCCAAGCTATTGCCTTCAATGCACAGCTCCCTTCCCAATCCC